GCCTTGATACAGTGGCTGAGGATATTACATCTTGATGAATACTTCATACTAAACTGTTGGATAAATTATTCATATCAGTTGGGTGTCATTGTTGTTAAAGTATTTTTATAAGTAGTGTGTGAGGTCAAACATCTAGCCTGGTGACTGTGATTTGATTTTGTTTCATGTTGGCCACATAATTCTTTGTTCTACTCATCTACTGGTTTCAACTGACTGAGTTATTCTCAATCTAATGTATTTCACTCACCTTGGTGTTATGTAGTTTTTTTTTAGCTGGCATTAGTTATTCCTTTGTCATATTTCTTAGACCTTGGTACAATCATTGGATATTCTAGAACACATTAAATAGATTAGCAACGATTTTGATGTACAACCTCAGTTTACTGACTTTAAAATTGTTTTACATAGTGATAACTATTATAGGTTCAGACTGTTTGCACCTGAGGAATATTCGGGAAGTAAAATTCTATCACTTATGCTGCGAATCAACCTCGCCTAGTTTACTACTTCACTAGTTTACTAGCCGTCCCTAAGCCTGGATAAAGAGGGGAGGTTGAGCATAAGGCTAGCAAACCTACCACTTAAAACCAATTCAATCGCTAAAGAAACTTCAAAGCACAAAGCAAATATAAAGCTAAAAATAAACTCATTCCCTCACTGGAATCAGAGAGACGAAATGACAACGGTTGGTGAAAGTCCTCGGGAAGCCAATTGGCCGATTTGTCTTCTGTTCTCCTCATAAAGCGAAAGTAAGAATTGGCACAACGTTTGAAGCTGGCTGGCAAGGCTGCCCAGATTGCAAACAAGATGAGGAGGTATAGCATAGCAGTGCTAAGAATCTGAGAGAGCAGATGGAATGGAAGTGAACTATCCAAACTGTCAACTGGAGAGTCAATAATCTACTCCAATATTGTCACCCAGACGACAACCACGAGCACACTGAGTTTTGGAGTGGCTATCATAATGTCTTCAACAGCATCGAAGGCTCTCTCTCATCTAGTGGGAACCAATCTCCTTCTACAGGATCAGGATCATGACAGTAAGATGGATTCAAACCAAAAGGAAGGAAAGTCACAATCATTCAATGCTACGCTACGCACCTACAAATAATTCAGATGAAGAGAAGATTGAGGAATTCTACAGACAACTGCAATCAACACTGGACAAGACTCTACCCAAGATGGAGACATCAAAATTTTAATGGGTAGGGTGACACGAATACCAAAATGAGATCGGACAACACAGGAAGAGAATTCATCATGGGTTGAGAAGCAGTCGGTGAAATGAATGAGAATGGAGAACTGTTTGCAGAATCCTGTGCATTCAACGATTTGGTGATTGGAGGCAGTATGTACAATCACAAGGATATTCACAAGTTGAGCGACAAGGATTTCACCAGATACACTGAAAATCAGATCGACTTCATCTCAATGTGAGGAAAGTGGTAACGCAGCCTACTGGATACAAGATCAGATCAAGAAGGTGAGCATATGTAGGTTAAGACCACTCACTATCTAGTGCAAGGAACCTTCAAAATCAAGTTGAGAGCCTCCAAGGAAGTTGGTGATAGACGACTACAGTTCAAGTTCAACACCAAGAACAAACTGAAGGGCAGAACTATGAAGGAAATCTTCACGTCAGTCAGTCATCAGAACAAAATGGAAGACATTGAGTAGCATCCCTGAAGGATCGGGCATGGAAGAACACTGGAACTCTTTGAAAGCTATGTGGAAGAAGACCTGCATAACCGTATTAGAAAGGAAGAAGAAAGAAGATAAGGAATGGATCTCAACGGACACATGGGAGCTGATGGGGGAGGGAGAGGAAGATGGTGAAGCAGAAGATGAACCAGTGCAGTTCAGGGATGAACAACGAGAAGAAGAACTGAACACAACGTATAAAACACTGGACAAAGAAGTGAAGAGGAGTGCGAGGAAAAACAGAAGACACTTCTACGACACATTGGCAAGTGAAGCAGAAAAGGCTGCAGGTAGGAGAGACAGAGACTTGATAACATCATATCAAATAACCAGATTACTATCTGGGGAGAGATCAACACAGATGAAACTAATAAAAGATGATGAAGGAAATCTAATTACGAAAGAAGAAAAACAAAGGAAATGATGGGCTGACCACTTCAAAAAGCTTTTTAATCGGCCACAACCTGCAACTCGTCCGGAAATACCACCAGCAACAACAAAACTACCAGTGAACACAAGCCCTCTAACAAAAGCAGAAGTCCTTAACGCCATAAAGTTGCTGAAATGCAGGAAAGCAGCATGACCAGATGGAACTTCATCATAAGCACTGAAAATAGGCGCAGAGACAACAGTGGACATGCTCATACCACACCAATATTGCAGAAGGTTTGTAAGAAAGGAAAGGTACCTGCCGAGTGGAAGAAAGGTTACTTTGTTAAACTTCCAAACAAGGACTAAGTCTCTGCAAGAACTGCCGTGGAATCATGCTCCTGTCCATACCAAGCAAACTATTAAGCCGTGTCATCTTGGGGAGAGTGAAAGATGCTCCGGATTAAAAATTACGAACAGCACACGCTGGCTGGTTTCAGGGAAAAAAATCGTATGCGGATCAAACTGCAACGCTATGCTACGCATCATCATAGAACAGAACATAGAATGGCAGTCAACGCCTTACCTCAACTTCATCGGCTTTGAAAAGGTCTTCGATGGCATCAACCGATAAGTAAGTTGGTAACTGCCTCAACACTACGGCTTTAGTGCCACAAACTGTTACCAACCTCATTCAACAGATATATGACGACGCTACATGCAAAGTGATTCACAATGGAAAGCTGAGTGATGCCTCTGAAGTGAACATAGGAATAAGACAAGGTTGCCGCTTACTATCACCTACGATCTTCCTGATTTTGGTCGACCGGACTAGATCATGCAACAAACTGTGAGATGGGCGTACGCTGTTTGACCGTGAAAAGACCCTAGAAGAGGATTAGGATTTTGCCGACGATTTGTGTCGAATGTCACAAAAGCTCGAAGATCTACAGGCGGAAACCAACAAGTCGGCAGAAGAGGCAGGGAAGCGAAGATGGGACCTCCTCCTCCAGGTGAACATAGAGAAGACATAGGTGATGAAGATACCCAACCAACAACAAGTCCTAATCAGATCAATATGAGAAATGTAAAGGAAGTTGTCTCTTTCACCTATCTACCTAGGCAGCATTGTCTCGACGACAGCCGGCATAAGTGAGGATGTCAAAGTAAGGATTGGAAAGACAGCAAGACACGCCTTCCTGGATTAATCTCAAGCCAGTGTGGAGATCTACTGCACTCAGCATAAAGAACAGTATCCGGATTTTCAAAACTAATGTCAGTCAAGTCAGTGCTTCCATGTGGTGGTTCGGAGACTTGGCGCGTTACGGAAAGCATTTCCAACAAACTACAGACACCCATCAACAGTTGCCGCCTACGTTCACTCGATACTGAAGATCAGATGGCCAGAATGATGAGAATAAGCAAGGAGGAACTCTGGCTGGCTGGCAACGAACCAACCAAGAACCTATCGCCCATCAGGTATGCAGAAGAAGGTGGAGATGGATCGGGTATGCACTGAGAAGACCGATCGTGGACATCATGCGCCAGATCCTCGAGTGAAACCCACATGGGGAACGACAAGTTGGGCATGCGAGGGTGACATGGAGATCGTGTGAGGAAGAAATGAAATATTCTGAGAGGCCGTGGAGCCAGCTTCAAAAGACTGCAGAGAACAGAGTTAAATGACGACGTGCTACTGAAGCTCTGTGTTCCACTAGGAACCCAAAGGATAAATAATCATATAATAATAACTAGCAGTTTATAAAATCCTGATCAGCCAAGTGATGCCTCCTCGTGTAACAAATGTTGCGGAAACAAAGAGTAACTGTGTGCAATAAGTGGATGTATTCAACTTTTATAGATAGTGTACAACTTTCATATGTCCTACCACAGATATTCTATAACAACGAATAAACACACAATGTTAAGCTCTCCTTTGGAAAACATTTCTTTTAAATCTCAAGAAGAAAACGAAGAATTCATGCTTATTATAGCAAGTGAACAATATATGAAAGGTAAGTCATACTAAAGCGAAGATATTTTTGGAAGTAATCAAAACCTATTCAATAGTACAGTTGCAAGAGTAATGAAAAATTGAAAGAGAGAGAGTCAGTCGGTTACCAGAAAACCAATCTATATCATCATGTCGATGATGATGATGATGACAACAATAAACAGACAAACAGATTACATACAGAGTTCTAAACACAGTAACTGTAAAGAAAGATAAGAAAGACAATAAGAAGAATTATCATAAAATACATAACAGCATTCCAAAAATATCCTTTTTATCTACTTATCCATTCAATTTGACAACACATGGAGATAAAATAAGAAATAGAATAACGGTTGATTATAATTCGGTTATTTTTAAATGTTCTTTATTCATTCGAAAGGCATTTTGAGCAATATGTGTAAAAGAGGAAGAAAATAAACTTGTTTTTCTATAAAATTCATAAATTGATACACAAAAAATGCTTCCATGTATATATATATATATATATATATATATATATATATATATATATATAACAACATACTGATGTACATGAATATTTTAAACGCATAAAAATAGGGTAAACAGTTTAAAAATTAGCATTAAGACCCAATTAATAAAGCATAATTTGTATTTTACACGAGTATATATATATATATATATATATATATATATATATATATATATATATATATATATATATATATATATATATATATTGGTCACTCACAATGAAAATATATCCATGTGTATACACACACACGTTTTGATTGATGCCAGTCAAGAATATAATGAGCAGAAAAGTTAATAAAATTAGATAGAATACACAAGAGGTGAATTGTTTATATCTAGGACTTTTTTTCTTTAAGATCAAACCACTATAAAACATTCAGACAAAATATTTATTACAATTATTAATCGATAAGGAAGACTGTTTATTCACTCAATTGTGTAAGACCATGTGATACAGTAAGGCGTAAATCTTTATCCGGTGAGCTGTTTCGTACAGATTTCGATGCATTGTTCGGCATCAAATTAAAAGAATTCTGTGATGTAGAGTACATATTCAGAGGGATGGACTGTAATGTTGTAATATTAGGAGCAGGAGAGACACCTGATGCAGGACAACATGTGTCTGACTGACAATTCTTGTTTGGCCCACAATCTAACACACAAGTTAGATAATCTGAAGGTGATCCTCCGGTGTTCTGTAACAAACAAAGGATTTCATTCGTATACAACTAACTTCAAAACAAGCAATTATCATAAGTAAATTAAAACGACTAGAGTAGTGGAAAATGCGATTTACTCTTCCAAATGCCTAATTTATTTCGAAAGTAACCAAAACTTGAAATAACCGGTGCGTACAAAGGAAAGTCTATCCTTTGCCTTAGTATTACTTATTACATTTGCTTATTTGATTTATAACACATAGTGATGCAGTAGTATTTACTTGATGACGTTTCAAGCATAAATTATCACTGCTCATAATCATAATATCAATGTAGTCACACTCCTATCGATATCTGATTTTTATAGTCCTGTCACCCGATATGCTTGTAATTCTACGTTGTTTTACTGGATCGAATTGTTCGACTTCTATTAATATATAGGCTCCTATGCGAACACCTCCATATTGCTTGAATGTTAATTATGGTAATTTACTTGGTTGTGGCTAGCAGAAGAATCCAGGAATAACTAATACCTGTTGTACGAGAGATGGTTATCGTGCCCCAGTGGATAACGCCTTGGTGTTTGAAGTGATAGGTACGAGTTTCAAGGCACAGTGGGAATAACATCACTTACTGGGGCACAGGCACATCCAGCTGACGAGCCCAAATAGAAGGAAACGTGCGTCCTGGTTTCTTCTACGCTATTTTGACCAGAGCTCTCAAGCACTGATTCCGTTCGTCTTGGAAACCCCAGCCAGCCAGCGTACATCTCTCCACTCCTTTCAGACCAACAGTCAGAGACCATCGACTGGTGCCATGTCTTGGTCTCGCCACCCTGAACACTCTTCCAACATAATCCAACTTCTCCTAGCATGACAAATCGAATCGAACAGTAGTTGACGTGGGTAATTCATTCCCAAGCCACCTACATCGGTGAAGCTTCATAACCTCATTAATCGACTTGGCGAGTACTCTTCGCCTGACCTCATCATTGCTCGCTAGGCGATTCCACTATCCCTACAAGCAGTGCTATGAAGACACATATGATCGAAACCTTGTAATCGCTTCATGTCTTATACTTTCAACGGCCGTATAAGAGGACAGAATGTACTGCAACGCAATATAGCTGCATTTGATAGATAGTCGGATATCTCGCCAGCTGGCGCCACAGATGACGCAAGTTGGCAAATGCTAAGTGAACCTCCTGTATCCGAGCTGAGATACGGTTAGCAACCAGCGCGTTTGCGCTGATGCAGCTCCCGAAGCAAGAGAAGTGGTTGACACATTCCACCACTTCACTCCCTATCATTACACCGGGAGTACGTACAGCAGACCAGTTATGGAGTATCATCTAACATTTCACTGGTGCCAGCGAAACGCTCGCCAAACATATTCAGATTTCTGCTCAATGCATCTAGAAGACCCTGAGTTTTGTCAAATTTCCACCCAGCAGGATAATAAGTATGGATACTCCAAACAAACCAGGTTGCCTCCAGAGAGAAGACCCATCCCGATAAAGTCAGACGTGCCTAAGGTTTGGTCCATTAGTACGTTTATGGCGTAGTTATATGTAGGAATAATGACAGCGGGCATCCCTAGCGAACACCACTATTCGTTGTCAATTCTGATGACAACTCTCCATAAGCCTTGACACAGCTGCGTGAGTTCGAGTAGAGAGTTTTGATCAGCATTATATACTTGTTAGGTACCCCCTTCACAGTCAGACACACTTCAGTCGACAGAGTCGAATGCCACCTTTAGGTCAACAAATATGGCAAGTGTTGGACACCGGCTAGTAAGTATATCTGTGTTTCAGGACCTGTCAGAGGGTCGAAATATGATCGATTGACCCTCGTCCTGCTTTCTCTGAAACCTGTCTGGTTTTCTCGAGTTTTCTGTTTTCGAGCTCCAGTTAGCTGTCGGAGAACTAAGGAGCCTTGGATCTTGTGCACAATATTAGTCAAACTAATTCCCCATAGTTGTCACAAGAAGATTTCTCTCCTTCTTATAGAATGGGGTGACCAGAGAAGTCAACCAGCGTGACGGTACTACCTACGATTCCCATACTCTACCCAGTACATCCGTCACCTTAATTAGCTATTTCCAACCTCCATTCTTGAAAACTTCAGGTGGCAAACTGTCACGTCCTGCTGCTTTGCATCGTTTCAGGTTCGATACAGCCTTCTCAACTTCAATGGGGAGTTGGATGACCGATATCTTCGTCCCATTCAGGTTCAGACTGTATGTTGGGCGACTAAACCTTGCTGAGAGCCAGTGAGACAGTGCTTCGAAGTGTTCTGCCCAACGTCCTAGCCGCCTGTCCTGAGCTGTTATAAGCATCCCATCCTCTTCTGTTATGGTTCCAATCGCCATCATCTTCTTCTTGCTGATATCCTCTATAAGCCTAAATAGTCGATGAGTATCACCCAACGCCGGTGACTTCTCTGTCCTCCTCGTTTTCGTCACCCACCACTGCCTACGATCAACGTGAAGACTCTTGATCAATTTACGTTAAATTTTCTTTCGTTCTTCATCGTGGTCAGTGTCGGTTGGAGTCAGTCTTTTCGCATCAATAAGTTCCGATAATGTCGCGGAAATTCAATGGCATCTGCTAACCTTCAGGTGTAGGTTACCAACTGCCTTTACCGTTGTTTCTACAACAGACTTAATATCACACCAAGTTGCCTCAGGATGAGCATTGCTGCACGTTCAGATAAATGCTAAGCTAACTCCTCTCTAAATGTGTACTTGGCTCTCTCATCTATCAATCAAGCACAGATAAGACTCACTTCCTTGTTTCTAGCGACCAGTAAGGCGCAGACATACACCAGCCCGTATTAGAGGGTGATCACAGTCCAAACTGGTGCCCTACAAAGGGCGGCAATCCTCCACCGATCCTCTCCAATGACGGTTTCTAGAAATGTGATCTGTCTGTGTCCATCATTGGTTTGAGTCAGCGAACACCATTGGAGACACTGTCTCTCCTTGTGCTTCAAGTTAGTGCTGGCCAGAAACAAGTGACTGCCGGGACGAAATTGCAAGAGACGGTCACCGTTGCTGGTTTGTTGGCACAGAATTCCGTAAATACTTCCCAGATATCTTTCCCATCGGCTCAGCTTCCCTGCTTAGGGGTTAAAGTCACCTACCATTTTGACTATACCTGGACGTTTTCCTTTCCATAGCAAAATTGGTAGCTTCTCACAAAATTCATCCTTTCTACCATCTGAACTGCAGTCAGCGGGTGCGTAGGCAGAGATTACAAATAAGCATCGTCTATCCTTACTAGTCCTTACAGATCCACTCAGTCGAACAGCACACAGATGGCTGTTTACTGATATCCCATTGAGAAGCACACTTCCTGCCCTACAGCTCAATGCTATACCAACACCGGCGAGTCCGCAAGAGTTAGTCATTGGGTCTCCGGATACTTGTAAGGTGGATTTTGAAGATTCACAATTGAGGTCAATTCATTAATCACACCTGGGCCCTGTATACGTATCTCAGAGACACAGCATATATCCTTGGCTCGAGATCCCACAGTTTCGTCAAGCGATGCTTGCTGTCTGGTTTGGCATAGACTTCGGACGTTGAAATCGAAAACGGGGTCTTAGGAGACAAGGAATGAGGTTGAGCAATGGATAAACCAACGATCCTTAGGAATTTGAGGAAAAGATAAAGCTGCGTAAAGTGGAAATATGTGAAAACCAGAATAAATCTAAGCCTTTAAAAAAAAACAATGAATGAAAATACGGTATTATAATATATTCCATCGGACATCGGTTTTATTCACTTTCTCTTTTGAAACTGAAGAGCACATCCTGCAGAGTTATCACACTCAAAAGAGAGATAAATTACTTTATGTGCCCTGATGTTAACTTCATATTAGTTTATCCTACCTAATTTTAATCCCCTAGTTATAAAAGCAAAGACAAAGCGCTAAACACACACACCACTATAAATGCAACCTCAGAACCTTTAAGATTTATTGAGATAACCCTGATTTCTTCAGAATAAGATCATTATGGTAAAACAGTCAAAATAGATTTTCCGGTTTTCAACTATTCTTCATTATATATTATATGTCACCTATATGCTACGGACATTCAGCCATACGGTTCAGAACAATTCACAGTTCATATCACTCAAGTGTTATGTCAAGGTTATTTATGCTTACTCAGAATTTAAACCGTATCCACTCTTTACGTTATAAGTGCAAATAAACTTCAAAAACTTATTTCACGTGAAGGATACTGATAAGTCCAAATTATAGGTTAACATTATATTTCGCAGTCATGACTGTAAACGTCTCGTTATCTGAATGTACTCTCACTCATTTATGCTATCCCAAGATTATGACTCATCTACCGAACTGAAATGAAAACAATACGCGATATCAAAAACCCTTAATACTAGCAATTTTCATTTTATATACACAGCTAATGTAAATATGCAGCTAGGTAACGTCATTTCATTACAGGTCATGAAATCAATCTCTCCTCTAAGAAGAAAAATGAAAAAACAAAACCATCCATAATATATATATTTTTTATAAAACATTACCTCTTCAAATTCCGGTTGTATTGTTGTACAGTGTATATTGAATTCGTGGAACAGTTGTTTCACTTCACGAGCAATATTCAAATAATCCGCTTGTAGAAATAAAATAAATGTAAATAATATGAAAAAAGAAACCTACTAAAAGAATAAAGTACTTCATTTTTAATTACAAAAGAAATGCAGGCCATAAAACATATATGGGTGGAAACTGTTATTGAAAGAAATACTTATTATGATTACTTGACTAACTTATTATACATTCAAAAATCTTTTGTTAAGTTAATATATTTTAGGTCATTTCTATAAAAATTATCTAAATACCTACCCTAAACTATGAACAAAGTGAAATAAGCTACTTGGTATCAAATAGAGATAAACATTAGGTACAGATGGCCAGTCAGTCAGTGATTAAATTGCAAACAAGACAGTAACAAAAAGTTAACTAGTTTATTGACCTTAAAAAAAGCTACAAACAATGCCTCGTGTTGATGAAGACACCTGTCAATAATAAAGATTTATAAGCAACAAGATGAAACGAATACAATAGTATAATGAAGATGAGGAAGCTGACTTTGAAATAATATAGCCTAGAGATCAGGATATAATATCTTGGTGTTGATACGACAACCAATGACGGAAACTAGTGAACATCAACTAACCTTTATGTATGTCTACCATGATTTCAGTTATGATTTAATTTATCAAAGCTGATTTAATTAAAACACGAATTTTGAAACCTTATGAACAATGAGTAAAAAAAAATCAAATCAAATCAAAAAGTTAAGATTTCTGTTTGCATTTTTTAAAAGACCACAACTTTTTAGCATCTTTGTTTAACCGAGATACTGTTTCAGCACAATAAAATCCTATCATAAAATACAAAGAAAACAGAGTAGTTCAGCCAAGAGACTGTTTTCAGTGTTTTCATTCTCAAGACTGTAAAATCATAATGGTCAATGTTTTTACAATAATTCGTTTTGTTTCATGTGGCAGATATGTTAATTTGCCACTAGTTAAAGATAATAAAAGTTACTCAGGTTAGTGAATATTGATCACTGTTGAATAGAAGCTAAAGTTTTGACTCTCAGATGCGTAATATGATGAAATACTTGAGGAATGAATTGTCATCTAAACACATGGGGAAAAGTAAGAGTTGATATTGAGTAAGAAGTTAGCGGAACATTCATATTCGTTAGGCAGTCGACGAATTCGAAGATATCAAATGTGTTGTGCTTCTACAATACCATAACCTTTTGGACTATCTAAAATATATAACTGGTGTGTTACTTCACCTGATATCGGATATGTTGGGATCCTACTGCTACCCAATTGTAAAATGGTTGATCTAAATTCAGGAATCCGTCAGGAAATGTATTTGTATCTAGTCTCTACAGGATACTTTTGAATTCATTGACTCTATAAAGGAGATGAATTTATTCACAAACTTATGATATCTATTGATATGGAATCACTCTTTATCAATTTCCCATTTGGATAACATTTTGGTGTTTGAAGCGATGGGTACTGGGTTTGAGCCTCAGTGGGAACAATATCACCAGTTATTGGGGTGAAGGTACGTCTGTCTGACGCCCCAAATAGAAAGAAACGCGCGTCCCGAATTACACTGCTTGTCACCAAGATAAGTACAGGATAAAAGCATGAATATAGGAATGCCAACTGCATGCTTAAAAGTTATACCACTGAGATGCATCTTTTCACTATCTTCCTCATTAACGTGTTAATCTACTCCTTGTTTTCCTTCTTCCATTCTGCTAACTTCTTACTTAATATCGACTCTTACTTTTCCCCATGTGTTTAGATGACAATTCATTCCTCAAGTATTTCATCATATTACGCATCTGAGAGTCAAAACTTTAGCTTCTATTCAACAGTGATCAATATTCACTAACCTGAGTAACTTTTATTATCTTTAACTAGTGGCAAATTAACATATCCGCCACATGAAACAAAACAAATTGTTATAAAACACTGAGCATTTCTAACTCAAGGAAACTGCATATGACTGATATTATATATAGTCTTCAGAATGAAAACGCTGAAAACAGTCTCTTCATTGAACTACTCTTTGTTTTCTCATACACTCTAGGTTAATCAATGGAATTCACTTGCTGAGACCATGTTATGCATTTACCTTTACAAAGATAACAACGAAGAAGCTCGATTAACAGCAGTTGTCATATTGATTTGAAGTGAGAGCTCTTGGGACTTCACCTGACAACAACCGAATCAGCGATCTATCCAACAATAATCATAGTACCTCTCAAAAAATGACTTACAACGTCACCTTTAGGTCGAAGAATGTAGTCAGTGTATGGTAAAATAGATTCACAATCTAAAATATTCTGTAGGATATAATCCAAACATGAAGTTCTCGAGAGCTAGTTGAAGTACTGGGAAGTTTCCAGTATTAACTTTTCAAAAATTTACTTGCTAATCTAATTCTTGCTAAGTTACCACAAAAGGATTTCAATCCTTCTTTAATAAACCATCAGTAGTTAACAACTGAAATTAATGTTGTGATACCACTAAGCTTCAACTAATGACTCAGTTATCCCACTAATAGCCTAAATTTAATTTTCTAAGGAAGCTAGAAGAATATAAGCATGAAATATAGTTTGGCTAGTTTCTTTCCTTGGATTAAGCAGGAAATAATGAAGGAGAGGAAGAAGATAACTGCCACTCTGATAAATAAGTAAAGCATAAGATCATACATATCAGAATAAACGCATACAGAGAGACACAAACTACACCTGACAAACGAATTATTAACCAATGAAAATGATGTATACACTGGGGTGAATCATTTTCAAAGCAATAACAATCATACACATAATTTCCATTAGATGTTATTATCACCAATGAAACAAACACTAATTCAACTTACCAAAAGTAAACAAACTAACAATAAACTGGACTTAATCTTATATTTGCTTATCAAATATACACCTGCATATCAAATGACGTAGATTTTTTCTAACAAAAGCGAGAAAACACTAGTTTCTTTAGCCATCAATGATAGTATCCTAAAATTGTACAATTATCAACTAAGAGTGGTATTGAATAACCTATAATTCTAATGAGACAACCCATAAAAATGCATCAGACCTCTTTCAAAAGTTTAGATTTCTCTATGGAGGCAAATTACTAGTCGAAGATCATTCAGTATGTAGCTATAAAACTTTACATGATCTATTTTTTGCGCCCTTAATTTAAAACTTTTCACTACTTTTTTAGTTAACATTTGACTATCTGAGATAACCGTAGTTTGGCAGACTATTATTTATACTGGGTGATAATTGAAGGTGAAATGAAAATTTGGACCGCAGCTCGATTCGAATCAGCAATCACTGGGTTTCCAGCTTAATGCTCTACCAACTGAGCTACGAGGTCCGACTGCTGAGCAGATTTTCATTTCACTTCAATCATCATGGATTTTGCCCAACTACTATGTGAACTCGTGATGCGCTACTATCGATTGACTGCATTTACACTGGTTGCATAGTCAAACTGGTGTCAGTCAGTGACAACTGATGTAACTTATCCACTGGTAATAATAACTTTATAATCTAAGTTAATGTTACGCAAACAAAAACCGTATTGACTCTGAAATACGCCGATTCCATAGTGAGACAATGACTACGTCAACTAGACTTAGAGATGGATTTCAGAATCTCATACCTCGATATGATATTGAACTATGTAATCTTTGACTGTTAGATTTTAACCTCCTGATGAACTGTGAGTTTGGTGAAATTGCATACACTCATGAAAAACTTTTATATGTAGGCTAAATGATTCTAACGAGTGGTACATATCAATATGCGTTATCTGGTTCTAAATCATGAACATCCTATTCCATACTTACTAATCCTTCTATCTTATTTCCTCAAGTTATTTCTATTTCATTTTAACATTTTATGCAACCTGTTCATTGTTTCACTATTTAGAAATGCGATGACGTGAAGAGATCCATAATACTATCAAGTTCTACTATTCTCTATCACTTACCAATTGGATGACTTACGCAATGTATAAAAACTTTTAAAAAGGTTCGTTCTCATAGAGTGACCAATTCAACTTAATTTGTAGTCTTAACAATTTGATGACACTCCAAAAATCCTTCAATCAATCAACATTAAAAATCTAGCTGATGAAGCAGTTTATTTCCCAAACTAATTAGATATCTATCTTAAACGCTAACTAAGCTACAGATCAGTTGGTCAGATTCACAGAACACTGTGTTTAACAGATAATTTCAAAATGTTATAAGAACTACAAGTAAATCGAAAAAATGGTTGAAAAAAATATAAAAAAGCATTCAGCGTGAATCAAGTCTAGTCTAACTGAATAAACTTCATGCTTAGCAATCATAGAACAGTAAAAGTTAAACGTAACATAGACGCAGTCTAGATTTCTTCTGACCTTGCAATATAAATAGAACTACCGAACAAGAAGATGATAGAATAATCATTATCATCATCAAGATCAACATAGGATCAGGCATTACTGCGTAACGGTCCGGGTTACCACACCTCATAGAAGTACAGCACATTAAGTAACAGGAAGATAAAATGGGAGATGAAGCAGGAAAGAAAATCCGGTCAAAGGAAGTAGCAGTAGAAAGTAGCGAAAGAGAGGGAGGAAGAATGAGAATATGAAGAGACTAAGTATAGCAGTTAAGATGAGGATAATGTGTGTATGCATCTGCACCAATAACATCGGTTATCAGCAATATCACCACCTACACTCAGTCTACAACCACTGCTTTCCTTTGTCCCGCGCAACCCAACCACCTGGTCTGCATCATCATATATGACTCAAACGAACAGTTAACGAATTCATGCAGTCATCCCATGTCTTAGTCTGGCCACCTCCAACCTTTCTCCAGTCTCAAACTACTTCAGACAACATTGTGTGACGAGGCGGATGACCACGAGGCATACCTAACACATGTCCCAACCATCTATCTCAGTCCATGAGGGCTCACAACCGTGTCAACTGACTTGTCACTTCTCCCTAAAACTCTACACCTAACTTCTGCGTCACTCAAGTGGTGACACCACAGAATACGTCCTATACTACGAAGTCAACCGTGGTCAAACACCTCAAGCCTACTCATGTCTTCCATCTTCAAAGGTCATGCTTTACAGCCATATAGCGGGACAGGGAGGACTGCTGTGCAGTACACGCGACCCTTAATAGACAATCGGATATGGTGGCGGTGCCACAGATGGCGTAAGTTGACAAAAGATTATTTACTTATGTGAAAAGAACAACAATTTTATTGTGTTATAAATAACTCGGATATAAAATATTCAGAGTGTTTCACAAGTACGGTATTTCATAGCCTTTCCTCCAAAACTTAATGTAAGCCAAAAAATATAGATCTGAACACTATAGTCAATCCGATATTAGGCGAATAATTCCCACCTTTTTAAAAACGTCTTTAATATCCATGGAATAAACATGTGATAAGGGTTTTAGAATAATCACACTATGTAAAAAATTTGGTAAAAATGTATTTTGTTTCTTTCTTAGACATTAGATAATTTCACTTTCAAAAAAGTTGTAATAACATGCTGTACACTCAGCTACGAGTGAATCAGTAATATAGTGGCAAAAAAGCGACTGAGCACTTTATTATTGCTTAAAAAAACTAAGTAAACTTAACTAAAGTATATCAAAATAATCATATTCTTTATTGCATATGTACACTTTTCTAGCTCATGATTAAAGAGCAATACATCCTAATAAATTGCGCGAAACATGAACGTCATCATATATTCAAAATTATCACCAAATGACTATAGAGTAATACGATCTACCACTTTTATCTTTAGCAAAAATGCATCAAAGACTTCAACGAATTATTTGATAGAAGATTCACAAAACCTTTTGGTTACTATATAATGCGTAAGATTTTTTGGTGGATCGGAAACTTACCAAATAAAGTAAAAAATGTGCATTTCAAGTTAGTACTAATCGTAGACTGACATCAGCTAGAGGAACAATGGAGACCTGAGAGCACTGGTCAGCTGTTTCGTTCTAGTATGGGACTCATCAGTAGTGAGTGCCCATGACCCTGACGGGGGTCGAACCCAAGACCAGCACTTTACCATTGAGCCACTGGGTCGGAATCCAATGATCCATATTTCCAGCTTCTGTCAGTTCACGACATAGCGCGACCGTCCCATAAATTCAATTGATCTAGTGCCCACCGGTGATTAGCTTTTAGAGGTGATTCTTGAAGTTTTAGTGAGAAGTCGTGGCCAGTGGGGCAAACCTGGTGGCCAAGAAGACAAGTACTCAACAACAACATTGGGTGGCAGCCGCACTATGTCGTAAACTGATGGAAGTTGGAAATATGGACCACTGGATTCCAATCCAGTGGCTCAATGGTAAAGTGCTGGCCACGGAACCTGAAGGTCGCGGGTTCGACCACTGCTGAGTCCCATACTAAGACGAAACAGCTGTTCAGTGCTCCCAGGTTTCCTTTGTTCCTCAAACTGATGTCAGTCTACGATGACTACCAACTTGAAATATCTCTAAATCCCCGCAAACCCTCCAATTTTGAAAAATGTGCAGCCAGATATGATATTAAACGTTGACTGTTGTATACTGAGTTTGCAACTCTTAGCTTAGGTTGGACTGTAAGTCATTGAAATGAATTACAAGTACTGGATCCTAGGTTCAAATCCTGCTCGACCTGGGAAACGAAGCGGTATTGCAAGGTCTAAAATAATAAATGCAGCTCATAACTTGATACACAAACTTGATGGTCATATATGTGAGTAACCGGTAATTTTATTAGCGGTTGTTAAACCAAGATGAGGGAGGCATTTAAAAATGCTTCATATTTAAAAACTAGTGATAATCATTTAGTTCCTTCACAAATCATTAAGATAATCCTTTTTACTTCAACCTAAAACCATGATTTCCATACAAACAGATACATATAACATATGGCGCATGCAATGAGCAATTAAAAAGGAATATTTAGATACTGTATTTTATTTCTGTTAATTCAATCAAATCAAAAAGATATCAGTTCGAAAAAAAATGAAGCGTAATCCGTAATGAAGAAAAAGAAGAAGGCCAGAATAATATACTGAACACCAATGACTGTTTACCCTTACTTACTCGTTTCTATCTAACCGAATAGATTTTGTGTAAACAGTTTGAGAAATAGAAAGGGAGAACAGCACTCAATTAGCATGTAAATAAACAGTTGAGAAGGAAAAGTATCATGAATGTGACAATAATGCAAAAGAAAACATTTCTCTTTAACAAATTTCAATAAGATTTCTCAAGAGTTATATTGATGCACATAAATAATTAGTTGGGATGATGATGCAAATACTTTTTAAAGATAGTGAACATAACATGAAAGGCCACCCAAGCAACTACTGGAATGGTCAATCAGGCTTCGGTACTTCACCTGGAAAAGTACTTTTCCGTAAAATAAAGGAATTTAATTGGCTGTCTCATCAATTGCTAGGGTGATCTTTAAAGTCACTCTGAATTATGACGTGAACCAATAGATGTGAAACATCATATACGATTTATTGATGGATAATTAGTAATACAGTATGATCTATGCCCTATAGACAGATCATTTGTGTGTTCTTTATAAACAGTTAGTAGAATGAGACATGAATCTAAGCAACTGTTATTTTGGAGAATGAAAAAATAAGTTCCATTACTGATATTGCATATATGACAACCAGCTGTCAAATCATCCAATGCAGAACTGGTGTTTTACTTCGCAAGATACACCAAAATATTCGTTGAATGCAATTTTCTTTCAAATAGCTGACCGCTCCCCACCCCTCGTGAATGAGACAGACGTACATTAAGAAAGCGAAATAAAATGCATGCCCATACATTGAACATCCTATATTGAACATTAACTACTTGACCCTAACAATTAAACACTTCTTTTAAGTTATATTTAGATAGAATTCTTTTTGGTGAATATCAATACTATACGAAGGATGCTGGCTGAAATTGATATAAAAACGCGACTAGATGCATAATTCAAACAAGAGGTTTCGACACTACCATCTACATGTTCTACGACTTAAGCTGCAAGACCCGATTGTCCACTTGTTTATTTTACAACTGAAGTAATTTATATACATTATTGTACTCATAAGAAGTAAGATGGTAATGTGTTATATTTTTAAACAGACTTACGTAGACTAACACAGCGAATATGAACGGTTCCAATAATACAATTGCTTTGTAGGCGCCATACATGCAGATCATGAATTTTATGAATACCATCAATCTGAAGTTTTGAAAAGAAGTTGAAAATTTTAAAAATAAGTATTTATCATATACAGTCTCAAATAGAAGTTTAACAAAGATACCTATTCAGCTATACAACAGAAGTTAATACACTTGACTAAGAATTTTTCGTTAAACTTAGTAACAAAACTTAGTAACAAAAATTAAAAATTTTTAACATGATATAAACGAATAAAGGTCTAAAGAGAAGTAGAAATGAACCACAGGCAAGCATAAAAACTGCAAAATAATATTATTGAACAACTGTGAAAATAAAATGCGACTATGAAAACATAAAACAGTCAATAATTACATTAATTGGCCATTAAAGGGTAACCAATATCTATCTAATCCATAGTGCTCAGTATTGATTGAATTTTTTAGATAGTGATCATAATCTACCCACTGAGCTAACTGATGTAGCACTGTATTTTGGAGTTCTCTTTTGGTTGCTTATATGCTCTGCTGACGAGAACCAACAAGCACGAAACCTAAATCCCAATGCCTAACATTTAAAAGATTCAATATTACAATCTCACTGAAAAAAAAAGGTGAAAAGAGTATATGATTTTAAAGACTAATAATTAAGACTATAGTAAACAGGTGAATTGAACAAATTCACTTTGTAGACATATTTCGAACTGTTTCCTTTTCATAGTCAGAAGTTAATCGGTGCATAGAAGTCAAAAAATAAAATCTGCAGAAGATTTCTTTCTAACCATAAATTTTATAGGAGTATGATAAGATGTTGTGATTCTAAAGAGGCTTTTTCAAGTAAGCATCCAAAATTACTTTATCTTATGGATTCATGCATATCGGTTATTTGAAGCAATCCCTCTCCATATGAGCTTAAGAATGGATAATTGACACTTATGTATTACATGTTTCTAAGACGTTAACGAATTTTCAATAGCCTTAAGAGTAAAATGAACTAAGTTCAAATAATAAAGGTTGCAGGCTAGAAACCAATCAAAAGAGAGGAGATGAAATTAAAGGATATCATTTTCAATGAACTATTGACTCCATCAACTTGCAACCATTCCCTCAACCGCAATGAAAACAGTAAAAAATCTTTTATAAACAATGAATAATAAGCATGCTGAACAGCAACAGTTAACATAAAGAGGAATTATCGTTACAGTTAGTGGTTTAGGCAGATAATCATCAACCAGTGGGGACTGGTTTAAACCGAGGTTTAGGTAACCAAATGATATTATTAGCCCTAACACGATAGATATGACTGATTGTCCACTGCATGGATGTACACAAGGTGGTTGAGTGTGTTTCGTTAACTTTGTTTGTGATTCATTCTACTTGAGACAAAACTTGATCTTATCACTAGGACTTGGTAACATTTATGATTAGAAATCGACTTAAAGTAGACACCGATCAAATATCACAGTTATACATTGTCTCGATAGCATAATAATTTTTCTGAATTTCTAGTATAAGCTAACTTTCTCTAATGATTTCAATGTCACTGTTCTTTTATTCCTTTCCACATTGAATTACCGAAAGAAACGATAAGAACGTGACAATAAAGTCTTCTTTATAATTAATACCAATATTCATTAAACTATAGCACAACAGAATGTCTTATAGAGTTTAACATCATACAATTTTGCAAGTAAACTCACATTTTCCATACGTGTTTTTAAATTCTTTAAACAAATCTCACTGGGAACGGATTGTAACAAAATTAATGTAGCTTTGTACACTAAAAATAAAGGAAAAAACCGAAATTGGTTGTTCAGATAGTCATTGATAGGATAGGAAAAATACTGTAAAGTAAATAATAGTTGCAGAATAATTGAATTATGAAAAGGAAATTTTTGGTAGCTTTGATACCTATCCTCACTGAGTCATTTCATTAAATAAAGACTATTTAACAAAAGCTAGTGAGATAACACCAGCACGTGTACTATGATGTTGAAATATTTTCACTTTCTAATACTTTTGGTTACTGTTTCTGAAAAATTTACTGAACTGAAAGGATCCAGTGAACTGTAAGGCTCTATGCTGGTTTAGAATAGTTACAGAATAAATCACCTACACAGAATACCTACAGCAGTCAATAAGACTTTCCTAAAATTACCACCATGATATATGAGAGGACAATATTCATACTTTTAGTGTAGGTTTGATCATATAATATTCCATCAGTACTAACTAAGAGCTGAATAGCCTTTTATGATGACTGATTCTTTTACATATAAAAATAACAGTTGTATTTATTTATTTAATGAATAAATGTATATATATATATATATATATATATATATATATATATATATCATTTTGACTATCTGATATAGCCGTAGTTTGGTACACTTGTATTGATACTGGGTGATGATTGAAGGTAAAATGAAAATTTGAACTATGGTGGGATTCAAACCCCGGCGGTCGCTGGTTCGAATCCAGCCGCGATCCGAATTTTTATTTCATATTCAATCATCACGCAGTATATATATATATATATATATATATATATATATATATATATATATATATGTATATCACCTGGTTATCGTCATCAATTAAATGAACAAAAGAATATCCACATACAAAAGTGAATATTATTGGTGATATGACCTTGATGTTTTTTAGAAATGTCACACAATGATAGACTTAAATGGATTTAATTTTTTGAGGGGGTTGTGGAGATTTGGAAATATTTCAAGTTGTTATTCATCGAAGACTGACATCAGTTGGAGGAACAAAGGAAACCTGGGAGCACTGGACAGCTGTTTCGTCCGATGAATAACAACTTGAAATATTTCCAAATCTCCACAACCCCCTCAAAAATTTAATTGAACTAGTGCTCGTTGGTGACTAGCTTCGAGAAGTATTCCCGAAGTTCCAATGACAAGTCGTGACCGGTGGAGTCAAAGCCTGATGGCCGTGAGGACAAATACTCAACGATGACATTGGGTGGCGGTTCGCGCTATATCGTGAGCTAACAGAAGTTGGAAATATGGAGCATTGGATTGTGACCCAGTGGCTCAATGGTAACGCGCTGGTCGCGGAACCTGAAGGTCGCGGGTTCGATCCCTGCTGGTGGGGTCGTGGGTGCGCACTGCTGAGGAGTCCCATACTAGGACGAAACAGCTGTCCAGTGCTCCCAGGTTTCCTTTGTTCCTCCAACTGATGTCAGTCTTCGATGAATAACAACTTTAAATGGATTTACAATGTACCACATTGTCCAAGTTTTACTCCTATATTCTACAATGATACACGAAATGGCTTCAGATCAAGAAATCCTTCGTTATCTTTAAACACTGGAAAAATGAATCTATTGTGACCCCTTTCCAGTAGAAATGTGAAGAGCAAATAGAAAACCTGCACTAAATTTTCTGTTTTAGTTTAAAATACGCGTAATAGTTACATATGCATCGTAAACGTTGTGATTTTTCGACAACTCCGGTTACTATGATTTTTTTTCAAGTCGATTTTAGGTTAGTATTCATCATGAATTAATCTAGTGCTCATTGGTGACTTGCTTCAAGATTCCGAAGTCCTATTGAGAAGCCGTGGCCTGTAGGGCTAAACAAGTTGGACGTGAGAACAGTTACTCAACAATGGGGTTGTGTGGAGGTCACACTATATGGTGAACTGACAGAAGTAGGAAATGTCGACTACTGGACTCCAACCCAGTGGTTCAATGGTCACATGTTGGCTGCGGAATCCGAAGGTCCCTGACAAAGTCAGGGGTGCGCAGTAGGACGAACCAGCTGTCCAGCGCTCCTAGTTTTCCAATGTTTATCCAACTAATATTAGTCCACGATGAATACCAACCTGAAATTAATATGCAAATGTTCAAATGGTCAGCAAAGGATAATCCACAGGAAAATTTCCTCAAGAAAATAATTACTTCGTTCCACATTGGACAAAAAGTTGTTGTAATAAATTGTGCCGACAAGACAACTACAGTATTCAACAAATGGCTAGCAACAAACACATTCGACAAAATGAGCCTTCTGCATTAGGACTGACTCGAATTGTCTAACCAGATAAATTTACAAGTTTGAATTTAGGTAGGATAATGAAGAGAACGAACAAATACAATCTTTTTCTTAATAACAAGGACTTCAAACAATATCAATGAAATCATCCTCAGTCAATATCTTGACCATCTTCAAACAAAAGTAATTACTTTCAGCCCCATAATGACAACAATAAACCAGTGAACTTTATCCATACTTTAGGCACGTTACTCTAGTTTACACTCCTGACGGCGAAATGTGCAGAAGTCCTAAACACAACCTTACAAAATGTAAAATCACCGTTGATAATGACAAGCATAACAGTAATAATGTCCTAAACACAAGCAAATAAACCTTTTTTACTTATCTGCAGCACCAATAAATCAATATTTATAAATATCTGATCTCAAGTGATAAATTGTAACTTAGTTTCCCTGAAGCTAACTTCAGGTTTGTGTTACTTCGCCGTCCACGTCACTTCTTATGGAATCTGTCATCGTTCATTTAAATCTCACGGTATTCTTACCGTTCACACGCTTTCTTGCGACTTGAAGGCAATAGGGGTAACTTCGATCGTCGAGAATTCCGTTCTTTTCTCATAAGCATAGTTACGACTTAAACGAAGAGACATGTGTAATTCTTTGTTTATTTAGAAAGTTACTGGTTTGTGTCATGAACTTACAAGAACATTCTCATATATTCTGCATAAGCATTTACGAAGATATCTGCTTCGTAGAATCCATATCCATATAACATCAGCTATATAATGCTTGCTGTTCTAGACCAAGCAGTCGAACATCAACTATTGTATCCCATACCAAAAACTGTACCGTCAATTAAAACCTGAAAAAGTGTGAGATCTTTCGGCCATCTGTTGTTAAATGCTCTATTCTCAAGAGAAAGAAGTTCCGAAAACAATGCCGTGTACGAAGTATTTTTGTGGCATTCTAAATATGTTTATACACTGACAGACAACGCATCGATATCCAATTCCAGTGAGAAAGAATATGAATGAAAAGCGCACAGAAAATGCATTTTAAAGCTTAAAAATACTAAAACAAATTTGAGGACTTACTGAGGGGTATAGCAGTGATCAAGATTATAGTAACCATGAGTATGCTAGGGAGATTGAAATATTAAGAAATATATGAATTATTCGCAGTTACAATAATAATCTATACCGTAAAAAAGAATCGGTTTTACATAACACAAGCTAAATCGACTGAGTTCCAATCAAAAATGTCACACAATCATACCATTTTTGCTAACAAAGACTTGGGACTGGTTCGAAGAAGCAAGCAGTGAACAGATAAATAGTTGCACGATCGTGTTATAAATCTCGCCTTAACAGTTAAATCACAATCAAAACACCTAACTTAGTGAGTTACTGCTCGAAAACTGATGAGATATATGGAAAAGTCACTATTTCTTCCAAAGAATGTAACAATGAAGCAAGTGTCCACCATTTTTCAAACTAAACTATTAGTACGCTGAGAGATGACCAATAACCGTACTTTTTCTACTCGTAACACTTTACTGATGAAATGAAAATGCTGAAATTCTTAGAGGAAAACTATTCACCAAAACAAAACTACAACAGCCCTTTCATAACCAAAAGTCTCTTAATAACTTTTCGTCAGAGTGTTTTAAGAATAAAATGAAACAAATAAGTCAGAACTAGTGAATTGTCATGGATACTAATCCCACTGATTCAACCTTATACCATGGAACCGAACTCAAATATTTGCTAAATATTTTTATTTAACTTCGGATTTTCACAAAGATCTATACACAAAGCACACTTTAATGATATTCAATAAACTATGACTCTTACCAAAATTCGGGTAATAGAGTAATTTATTTGTTTTAATGACTGAATAAACTAGCTCGTGAACTTTTGCTTCAATCTAAGGATTCATAGTACATCAGTATGAGATCGCTGGTTTGATCCATCCACCAAACCAAATCAATATAGGATCAAGCATTACTGCGTAACGGTCCGGGTTACCACACCCCATATCAGTAAATCAAGTAAAAAGGCAGTGAAGTGGAAGATGAAGAAATGAAAATCCAGTCAAAAGAAATATAAAGTACGAGAAGAGACAAAGGAAGGATGAGAAAATGGTGAGATTCGGTACGGCGTTAAGATGAGGATAATGTGTGTATGCATCTGCACCAATAACATCGGTTATCAGCAATATCATCACCTACACTCAGTCTACAACCACTGCTTTCCTTTGTCCCGCGCAACCCAACCACCTGGTCTGCATCATCACATATGACTCAAACGAACAGTTAACGAATTCATGCAGTCATCCCATGTCTTAGTCTGGCCACCTCCAACCTTTCTCCAGTCTCAAACTACTTCAGACAACATTGTCTGACGAGGCGGATGACCACGAGGCATACCTAACACATGTCACAACCATCTATCTCAGTCCATGAGGGCTCACAACCGTGTCAACTGACTTGCCACTTCTCCCTAAAACTCTACACCTAACTTCTGCGTCACTCAAGTGGTGACACCACAGAATACGTCCTATACTACGAAGTCAACCGTGGTCAAACACCTCAAGCCTACTCATGTCTTCCATCTTCAATGGTCATGCTTTACAGCCATATAGCGGGACAGGGAGGACTGCTGTGCAGTACACGCGACCCTTAATAGACAATCGGATATGGTGGTGTTGGCAAAAGCCAATCGTTTCTTTTGTATCCACGCATAGATTTCACCGGCCACTGAGCCACCAAGGCTGATGGTGGAAGTGCCGGGTATCGAACCCGAGGCCACTGATTAGAATCCTGCTGAAAATCAGGCTCCTTCCAACATATATATATATATATATATATATATATATATATATATATATATATATATATATACAGAGACAGAGGACAATACATTATTGTTTGCTGCTTATCTCACGTAATGTGATTATGAGTGATACACTGTGCTTGGGACGTTCTTCAATAAACGTCACTGTGTGGCATACGATAAGAAATCAGTCGAGTATAGAATTATGCCCTACCACAGTGCCCAACTTTTACTCCCTCATATAAATACATATCACAATGGAGTCAAATTTTTACAATTCACACACTAAACTAAAAGTTATGCGATGTTGATACTTCCCAAATACGCACCCACTTATTAAATGATGTATTATTCTTCAGCTTTCTTTGTTTCAGACTGGGTCGACAATACTCTCAAATATTTAGTTCGCCAAAATAAGCGTAACATAAAAGCCTATCATACACACAGCATGGGTTTCCTAATTTTCTTGAGGACAGGAATAAACTAACACCACCACATAAAAACAGCTCTAGAAATAAAAAACCAACGACAAGGGTAGATAAAGTGGTTTTTATTTTACCAGGGGATTCGGAAGGACTCCTTAGGCACTTGTTGTGTGCAATACCAAAGCTGGTGAAATAAGTATTGAAGAAAAACTGTGCTAAGACAGAAAAGCTGTTTACAAAAAAGTGAGAATAATGCAGTTAAAACCGGTCACATCAAAAACTGGTATTTAAATCCATATAAATCATCATTCTTTCTAAAGCTAATTAAGTAATATTTACAGAAGAGTCAATCAGTATCAACATAGTACTTGAAACATTGGTACATCAAGATGCACAACAATACGATGAAAGACTAGGAAATGGCAGTAATATAATCAGTCTCCGAAAGTGATAAGGTAAAAAAAAGAGTAATTAAACTCGGTAATGAAATGTAGGATGACGGTTAGTACAAACGTAAACCGTGGATGTATAAGCAGCACTGCGATCGATTCTTAGCCATATCACCTAGTCGTTCATTAGCAACTTCGGCCGTTGCATTAGACACAACCGGTAAGTCTAGGTTTTTTTACACGGATGAAACAGTAAGAGAGTTCAAAGATTGATGCCACATTTTGTTCTGGCCACCCTTACCCTTTTCCTAACCAAACATTACTTCAGATAACATTGTTCATCACAGCAGATGATAACTTGGCATGCGTATCACACACCCTAGTCAGCCGGGTCGATGAAAACTCATAATTTCATCAACCAACCCACCGCTTTTGCTTAAGACTCTATATCTAACCTCTACATTATTTGCACGGTGCTTCTTCGATATGTAGCCGGTGTTTCTAAGATATCAGTGGTATTGCATTCAACCCTCGCACCGAAATCTGATACGGCCCACCGGATCCACCAGGACTTGTCCAACTTCCTGAGTAGAGTGACTAGAGCATCCAATTACTTCAATACCCATAGGTTGAACGAAAAATAAAAAACAAGTCAGTTCTGAAGCAATAATTCAAACTTGGCAAGTAAGAAATAGTCCTAATCATTCTCAAATTCTCATTCAGCATGGTAGAAGAAAATGAGCATTTAAAAAGTCTTTGGCATCATTACAACAAATTTTCAGGCACTTTATGAGGAAAACCATCAGTAGTATATGTTATCAATCAATGAAAAGTTCACTAGTTCTTCGTGATTCGTTGCATTTTTATTAAAAGACATATTTGTCTGTTGGACACAAGAATAAATAAATAAGAAAACAGGTGTTCATAATGTTTTTGTTGCACACAAATATGTTAGATTCTACACTGAACGGCATAGCCTAGATACATATATCAACAAATTAACAGAAATGTAGATGTGTACACTTGGTTCTCAACCAAACAGTATGGCTGCCTAAAATAAGATGCATGTAGTGAAGTGAGTTATCTTCACTCTAATATCACAAAATAATTAACAAGGCACAACATTTTAGGTGTAGCAACGTATACCACAGCTTAACAATTAAAATTCTTGGCTGCTCGAATAAATTTCTAAAATCGCTCAACAAAATATTCATGTACAAAGCACACGCTAAGTTTTCAGCTGTGAAATTTATCAATGTCAATAACTGATCTTAATACAGGCATAATTCAACACTGAATTTTTGTGAAAAAAACTACGCCAATAAAGCTGATGCTCATCAATACTATTAATACAGTTCGCCCATTTCTGAAGACTTCCAATCACATAATTGCCGCAATAATAAACTTCATGGCTTACCTCATAGCTGGATCAATGTACAATTTCCAAACTGCTTCACCTTTAGAAACTTCACCAGGTACCAGCCATAGTACCAGTGCACTAATTACAACAATGACAGAACCCAGGAAATCAGCCAAAACATGTAGAAATACAGCTTGCATGTTCATTGAGCTGTGAGCTTGGTTTTGAAGTTAAAATATGGAAGCGATAAAAGGATTTTACTCAACTGAGAAAACTAACTAAATGAATTTGAAAAATGTAATAACTGCAAGTACTAAAGTCCCTTATTATTTTAACAAGATTTTACCTATTAAAGCCAATAGGTTGAAGCTAGATGTTATACGTAACGTGATACAACACACACCGTTGCAAACAATCAAGTACATCCACAAGCTACTTTAAATAACAAAGAAGTAAATTTGAATACCCTTAGTATTTGGTTAAAGAAGCCACTGAAATAAGCTTGATATCGATGGAATTGTCGCGGACTCCACAATAGCATAATTAATTCAGAATATCTTAAGTTCCTTCTTAAACTCCCTGTCTCGCAGACAGATATGATAACAAAGAATTCTAATGAATTACATTTCACTGTGACATTTTTCAGCATTGGTTCGGGAAGTACTCCTCAACCGCTAGCTTCAGACACTTGACTTTTAACCAGTAGGTTACACATCTGAATTCTGGTAAATTCCCCAATAATAAGTAATCGATATAGAGTAGCTGACTTTCATATAATAGGTTTAGATAATAGTCTAGCGGTGATGTAAGTAACTCTTCAATCAATAGGCGCCAATCGAATGAACGAAACGCACTTAGCCACCTTTTCCACATCCACGCAGGATGTGATGAGCCACACCTATTGTGTGATGGCTAGTGATACTACCTGGCTGCCCAAACCTAGATAGGTAGAGCGGCACTTGGATGTCTGACCTAATGGTTGGCAGTCATTTCCCTAAACCCCTGACCCACAGCTCCACAGTAAGCACAAAAATATTGACCACTTGTGATGCATACCCCTCACAATGACTTCATCACATTATTATTACTTTCTATATATCGTGAAAAAATTGACATAAGAATATCAGATTCCAAATAACATGGAATATTGTTAAAGCAGTTATCAGTTAGAACCGGGACCACATACAAAGTCGTGATGCAAGAAGCTAGATGACATTCTTCATGAAATTTAATCACTCAAACTGAAATATATTAAAACAACTAGAAGTTGTAATTTCGTAGAAACTGGATGCTAAGCTGTTTATCGTAGATTTATAGAGCACTCCATTATCTTGAGATATACAACATGGACCTAATCAAAATATCCTAATTCGACTAAAACGTGATACAGTCAAATTATGAGATATAAAGCGAACTTAAAAACGAAAAAACTTATGGCAACTTTCAAAATGAGAACTTTACTTACATCTTTTGGAGTGATTGTGTTTTATTTTAACGGTCACCTGCTGTTGGTTCGTATCATGTTGAGGCACTTCAAAATGATCACTTCCGTCCTTGTCAGGGAAATTTTGGATAACATTACCGTCTACTTTGTCGTTACACATGTTGTTTACTCCTGAAATAGGATGGGTTGAACTAACTCGCAAAAAGGCTTCATCTGAATTATTCAGTGGTAATGAAGTGCCAAAGGCTGTTGGAGTCAGTGGTGCCTTTAAAGTATTTAGAATAAAATGCAAGAATGCACATCAACATCAAGTAGAGAAGCCGATTCTTTCCTACGAACCAAGATACAAGAACGAACTGATTCCTCATATTAAGTGTGCTGTTTTCCTTAAGAATCTTGGCAATGTTTAGTTTCTTTTTAACGCAATATCAATAAAATCATACTACTATTAATCACGCAGAATACTAACACTAAACAAAATGCAAGTTTTAATATCAAGCAGAAATGTTATGATCAATATTAGGTATATTTAGCAGAAACAGACAAGATCAAACTACGACCAGACATTACTGAGTAGCGGCCCAAGTCGCCACAGCTCATGAAGTGAAGAAGCATTCAGATGAAAGAAAAAAGCACATGAAGTGAAGAAGCATTCAGATGAAAGAAAAAAGCAGCAGAGAAAACAGCCAAAAGTCAGAAAAAATCAACGCAGAAATTTGTACAAAAGTACATCACCTCAAGTTGCTACACTTCAGAGTAGTACATAAAAAGCAAGTGGAAAGAAAAAGACTGAGTCCAAAGTAGACAACGTTGTGTGTAAAAATAAACAATCTGAATGAAAATGTTAGTGCAAATATTCAAGCTTTAGATGTCAAGGAGTGAATACATCTACGCCATTGTCACCAATTTTCAACCACATCACCAAAAGTCCTCAAACACTGATTCCTTTTGTCTAGGGGACCCCAGACAGGTAGTCTACATCTCCCCACATGGCTCAAACCAACAGTCAGAGACTTTATCGACTAGTGCCACGTCTTGGTCTGGTCACCCTTACCCCTCTTCCAGCCGAAACCAACTCACCCTAGCATGACACGTCGAGGTACCGGGTGGCTAGGCATTCGCAGTATATGTTTAGGCCATCTTGGTCGACTAAGGTTCACAACCTTATCAATCGACTTGCCTATCTCGCCTAGTACCCTTCCCTTGACCTAAGCATTACAGTCAAGTGGTAGAAAGTCGTGATAAGATAACAAGGAAAAATAAGAAAGTGCTGAATTAAGTATGACGATTAAGATGAGGCTAATGTGTGGATACATCTCCACTATGACTGGTTCTGATTTATGTCACCTAGTCTCCAAACAACGGCTTCTGTTGTCACGTGGACCCCGGCGGGGTAGCCTAAGTTTCCTTACACAGCTCATATTAACGGTTTAGGTTTTCATGATCCTACCTGGTCCATCTGGCATGGCAAACATAGTTTGACATTACTTGCAGAGTAAAAAAGAAAAACATTTTACGAACTTACACAACACAATTTTCTTACTGCTTGTAATGAATAACTTCACGTCCGACAGCCTTCCATCACATAATAAATATGACTTCACAAGTTAGAATATCCATCAAACACTAAATACTATTGAAACTAGGCAGGAAAAGTTAAACTCACAATTCACTGAGTTCCTTTGCTTATTACACTGAACGTTTAGGCATCCGAAATGAAATATATTCTCGGGAAAGCGGATCACAGTCACTTCAAGAAGTACTGAAATAGCTTTTCAAATTCCACCTAACCAGCCAAGACGTCTTTCAATAACAAATTAAGAGTAAACAGAATGAAGAAGGATACCAGATGATGTTAGTAAGAGTTGAATCGCTTAGGGACTAGTTGTGTAAACTAAAAGTGCTTACACTTTCATTTTGACCCATAGTGTAATGTGTAGCATCGAGAGTCCATGAAATAGCCAGTAATATTTAGAATGAGTGAATTTCTAACTTTTTGGAAAAAACAATCAGTTTAAATTGACAAGAATTTTCCTGATCAGTTCTAAAAACTAGTGATTTTCAGCCGTGTTTACTTATCCTGTCGCATGTCACACTAAAGATAAATGGTATTTTAATGTCCAGAAAACTAGAAGTAGATACGTTCAAGAGTGATTCTGTTTATTACACTTCAAAGCCACCAAAATTTACACAACCGTTAATACACAAAACGATTTTCTGCGTGATGGCCACAAAACTCTAGCGAACTAGGCACTGTTTGTGGAAAAAACGGTGAAAATCAAAAATGTATGCACTCAGCCATTGGGTGAGATATCAGTGGTCCACAGTCGCCTATTTTTATCAGTTCGCGATATTGCACAACTATCTACCAAGGTTTTCAATTGACATTCACCCCACTTTCCACTGGTTGACTCCACCGGTCATGGCTTCCCATTCGAACTTCAAGAAATCTCATTTCGAAGCAAGTCACTAATGACCACTGGGTAGTAACTAATTCTGAAGATTTGCGGGGATTTATTTGTTCCAAACCAAAGCACACGTAAGGACAAATACTCAACGATGGCATGGGTTGAAGGTCACAATATATCACGAACTGACAAAAACAAGAAACTGGACTATTTAACTCCGATCCAGTGGCTCAACAGCAACATGCTTACCGTCAAGCCTGACAGTTCTGGGTTTGATCTATGGTGGCATTATGGGTGTGTACTGCTGAGCCTCACACAACTACAAAATGGCTGTACAGTGCTGCAAGGTTTTCAATGTTTCCCCAGCTGGTATAAGTCAGTGATGAACATTATCTTAAAAATAAAATCTCCATAAACCTCAAACTACGTATAAATTATCGCTATCTGCTGAAGAGGTTGACAATGAAAGTGGAGGATAGATACCACATGAAACAGGCTAATTCCCAAGCATCCGTCAGCTTTTTCATATTTTACAGAAAAAGAAGGATAGAATCACTTCAAGTTATCACAATCCACAGAAGAATAGAAAGAATAAGCAGAAAGATAGTGAAACTAGAGAACTGTGTGTAAAGATTGAATAAATTATTGGAGGTCAGAGAAAATAATTAAACCACTGGTGATAAGCAGCTAAGGCATCTGTGGCATTGTCAAGTCTCCAAATACTGATCTCTATCGTCTTGTGGATCTAAACTAGGCAGTCCACACCCAAGTGGTTCGAGTCAACAGTGAGGCTCTACAGATCGACTCCGAACCTTGTCTTGGTAGCTCAGCCTTCAGAAGTAATTACTGAATGACAATCTAGACTTGAAACCAGTAACTAACCTAGATCGGTAGAATAGAACTAAATACGTGTAACAAAATACATTGCTGTGTAGGGAAAGCAAAATATAAAAATCTGTCTGTGGATCCGAACTACGAACGGTGATGTAAGCCAATCTGGAACGGCAGTAAGTTTGATAGACTTGAATTAAACCCTCAAACAAATAACTGACAATATAAGGAGTTCTTAAGTGAAATATATTTTCCTGCAACATACTGGGTAATACATAAACGGCAAGCTCTATCTCCAACATCTCACTACGTGAATGCCATCATCTTAAACTTTCAATTATTCGTTCAAGATGCACAGATAACACCAACATTGAACCTCACACAGAAATGTTTTGGTTGGACTAGGCACATTTTGCAGCGGCATGTAAAGAAAAAGTGGTCAAAAAGTCATATCAAGGTAGAAAAAATTGTATTACTTCAAAACACTCAATTAACCTTAATTTCTCTACTAAATGACTTTCAATATTATCGTGGCGAATCCTGAGAGTACAAAGTCTGGAGTCACCATCATGATCAGTAAAGTAAATTACCACAACGCATGATTATTATGTGATGGAACGATAAAACGCGCCCCCAGTTGACATATACCCCTAAGCCTACTTGCAAAATAACGAACCAACATTTCCTTATCTAAATAAACTTCAACTGAAACCAAAAAGAAAATACGAAAGAAAAAGAGCTATCCAACTTACATCTCCCGAAGCATTTATTTCATTATGTGAGCTTCCATGTGAATGACCTCCAAGGACTATAAGTCCCAGTATATTTACCAAGAGGCCACCACAACCAACACACACCATCACTTGCGGAGTCTCAATAGCTTGAGTCTCAATGAACCGTTCAATAGCTCTAAGAAGGATTGTCACACACAACGTTATTAGGACGACGGTATTGATCAAACTCCCCATCACTTCAGCTCGCTGCCAACCAAAAGTATTTCTAGATGATCGAGGCCATTTGGCTATCCGCGAGGCTACAATACCTACCACCAGAGCAAGGCAGTCTGATAGCATATGGAATGAGTCTGCGACTAGGGAAATAGAATGTATTGATATCCAACAATAAGCTCCACCAGAAAGTAAAGAACAACAAGTACCAACATGAAGATAAGTCGAGCTGTATTTCCACATCGTATGCCCATGACTTTTTAGCATTCGTTTTTTGATTAGTAGAAAGTTGTCAACAGGTAAATTTTCTAGATAAAGCGCATGTAAGTAACTAGTTCCGTAGATGTATAACAACCACTAATCGATTAAGAGCATAACAAGCAAATGTGACCAAAGTGTGCGCTGTTACGAAGCTAGTACTCTCAATTAAACAAATAAAACAAGGAAACACACGAAGATAAGTTTACCATGTATTTAGAAAAAATGCAGAGACTACTTTCACCTCGTTATTGTTAGACACTGGTGAGCAAGTTTTCTGGTATAAATGGGTAGTATGAAGAATTAGATCCTAACGCACCAGAATCCAATATCTATCCCACGGACGACGGTAAGGTCCAATATCCAATATTGATAGTGCGAGCGTAGAAAACTGGTAGTTTTTGATCTCTCGCGTCTAGTTCTTAGGGCTTGGTTCCAGTTGTTCGGTTTACTCCTGCAGTGGACGAGGAAATCCCCTCTGCTTTCTTGCTTTTAGCTTCGGTGAGGTGGATGTTTTGTGGGTTAGTAGGTTGTAATTTGTAGAGTGATTAGGGAGCTACGGGTTGCTGGGAAGTTTAGAGAACTGCCATGACTCCTGTCTGTGTAGGTACCTGAAAGAGAATAGTAAGGTAGTGGTAAAGGAATGAAGAGAGAATAAAGAAGAGAGTGAAGTAGCACCATAGAGACTCTGGGAGCTGGGTTAAGGCCGTATCGCTAACCATCCTTGCCTTTAAACAGGAGTTTGCGTAGATAGCCACTCCCCCTCCTGCTCTATGTTCCCTGTCCCTGCGGAAGAGTTCCATGCCAGCAACACGCATCTCTTCGTCGGAGATGTCCGATGAGAGCCAGGATTCGGTGATGAATATGATGTCGTAGTGCTGATGTTCACGCAGCGTCCTCATTTTGCTACCTTCCCTCTTAGCCCCCTAACGTTGCTGTACATACATATTAGAGTGTGCCTGATGAGAGGGGAGGTCTGGATGTGTATTTTCGAGGGATGAGCGCTTACGTGGTTGATTTAGCCTCGCCAGTCCTCATAGGACTGGCATTGTTCCGTTTTTTGTGTTTTGTTCTTAACTTGGGTGGGGGCTGTAGCAGTGGTGGCTTCTTTACTTGATGTATCTAACTCACTGGTCAGCGCCTGTGTGACGACCACTGACTCCAGAGGTCTTGGTGGTTGCCGTCTCTCCTCTTGCCTTGTGGGTCTAGGCTTACTTTCACATATACGTATTGAGCCACCCATGCGATCTTTCGCATTATACCATGCGTGCAGAACGTCTGTGAGGGAGGCATATGAGTCGAACTGGACGGCAAGTAGTCTGGGATTGGGTATGGTCTTCAGGTGCGCTGGCCTTGGCAGTCTACTGACGCTGTTGGCCGGTATACTGTTGAGACCAACTTTGGTTGAGAGCCATTGCCATTGTTGGACGTCGTGAAAGTACCGATCTTTGACCGAGCTGTCACTTGGCAATTCTGGAATCCCATGTACAACTATAGTGTTGTTTCTGTTGGGATTTCCAACCGCTGACTTTCTCTCCTCCTCTCTTATTGACCATGGCTTGTCAGGCCTGGCCCGAATTTTACAGGCATTAACAACGTCCGGTTGTCGCGAGAGGAGGAGTGTGTCTTCAGCCTCTTTGGCGGTATTTAGGGACACACGTAAAGGGGGTGGCTTATCTCGGGGTGCATGGCTTCCTCGAGAAAGGCGACATAAAGTTGCAGGGAGGGGAGGGAGTCCCAGCATCTGACAGTAGTCGGTCCACATTCGGCTGTCAAATTGTTCCCTCTCGACCAACAATGAGTCTGTCGATACATCGACGTTGAACAAAATGATCGAGTTGGTCCTCCTGTGACCTGGGTTCGTTGTGGGTGGCACGCCCGACTTCCCAATGGGTTTGAGTAATTCCACTGGTTGTTTCTCAGTCACGGTGTGTGGGGTGTTCGGAATGGGTTTCGTAGAGGCTTCGGCGGTCGATGTCTTTGGCCATGCGCTTGACGTCCCCTGGGGCCGGGTAGGGGGTATGGAGACTTGACCTAATATGGTCCCCACGCGAGGTGGCGTGCCCACAGCTGGAGCTCTAGGTCTGTTTCCAGGTCTCTCTGTGTTATCCTTTGGTGTTAACCCTACTTTATTCGAGGATGCTGGTAGCTTTTGCGTGGCGGAGAGCATCTCCTTCAGGCTTTCTGTGCGGAGTGCGGGCATTTTCCTGCACTCTGGACAGATGTACCAGAACCACTTGCATGGTTGTCTCTTCATCAGCTTATAGTATTGTCGGGGGACTTTGGTATCGCAGTGGCAATGCGCCCATCGTTGACACAGGTTGCATGCAAATGCCTCATCGACTACCGAAACAACTTTGGTGCAAACACTGCAGCCATCGGGTGTCGTAATACAGCCTTCCTTCCATGAATAAGGTGCTACGGATTGTGGCGAACTGCTTGTGGCTGCCTTGTTCTGAAGCCTTTTACGTCGTCTTCTATTTCAGGCATGGTATGATCCTTGCTCAAGATAGGACTAGTTTGTGACGGGCTAGTGCTTCTCTGTGTCACCTGTCTGATGGCGACTGGAATTCTAGAAACATGGGTTGGCCACTTCTTCAGAAGTTCGATGTTCTGCCCTACCTCTGTTTGTCTTCTAGTACAGACTAGTGTGTTGTTTAGGGTGTTACTGGCCGTTGTTGTGCACGACCGCGTTATCCGTGTCAAAGCTTCAGACCTAGCGTTTTGGGCAGACATGTCGCTATGATATAAACTTCTTGGGAAAACAAGTAGTTAACAACAATAAGAGGGTTGAAGACTGAATGCAGCAAAAGGACAGAATAGAAAAGGGAAGATAATTTATGTTGGCTCACCTTCAGACACTTGTCACTTGATCCTCTGCTCTTGACCAACGAGTTTAACCGTAAGCTCCAGATGCGTATGTATAACCAGGAAAGATATTTCCTGGGGAATGACCTCCGAGGAGAACCGAGAGCTAAGGCAGTTTGGCAGTTGAAACGCCCAAGAACCACTGACAGGAGGTAGACCGGTTGGTTCAAAGGAATAATAATGCCAATTTTCAACTGTTGAGGAGTGAGCTGACGAATGCGCAGGGGTGAGGTGCGTGGACGGACAGAAGTGCTGCAAACGTTCGATATTTTTAGATTGAGTATTGCAAAGTAACTGACTGGAAACTTCAAACTCCATGTTACAGAAATAAAGAGAGATGTTTTCTAAGGGCCTACATCTGTTTCAACGGAATATGTTCTAGGTTTTCCCAGTTCCAAAGAATCCAAAGGGATGAACAATTATTAATCATGCTCACACCGCTGTGTTTTGCAATGTTTCCAGATTAACTTGACAATGGAGGTTTGCCTGACCTTTAGGCTGCCTCATTTTACCGAACAATACATTGCATCACATTCTTCCTTTCTATATTATTTCAATCATTCAGTTAAGTCATCTAAGAATAACATACCGTCACATATTTTTGAAATCATTACGACCTATCACTCTACGAGATGATGCCAACATCAAGGAAAAACATCAGGGTGAGTGGCAACGAGCTTTCAAGCATACGACCATTCCGGAAACTGCAAAACCCACTTGTCGACTTTGTAACGAAGTAATCTTTTGATCGTAATTTAGCTAACAGTGTAGAACTTTCCTTAGTTATAATACTCCTTTCAAAAAGTGTTATATTGACTCTTTAGGATTTGTCCCGGTGCGAACCTGACAGACGCAAAGACTAATCACTAATTATTCGGAATTGCTATATACCCACGAGTACGAGACCAAGGAAGAACACGATAGCCTAGTCGGATGGAATAGTATATTCGGATGGTTGTGCCAAGATACCGATGCGTTCCATCTAACTGGCTGGAGAGTCGAATACGAGCAGTGCAATGTAACACGACAGTGTACCAAATGGTGAGGTGCCTGACCGGGTGCCTTCAGCTTAGCGAATCCAGTTAAACTATCAAGGTCAGCGTCAATGCCGAAAGTCGTCAAACCCTAGGCTACTGATTTTGGGGTAGCGTGTGACGCTACAGCACCACTGAATTTTCGCAAAGGTGTACAAATACATACATATATAAGTGCAATATATCATGCTGAAAATTATTAACCGTACCAAGGCATCGTTCGGAATGAGGTTATTATAATTATCATTATTATCAGTACATGATGCAGTGAGTTTTCGTGTCCACTTTGCACACCCTCATTAACGCGATAGGCAGCTGGTTTTGGATTCGCCTTGCGAGTAACTTTATGGCTCGTCTTTCAACAGTTAACCTCAGAAATCACCGGATAGTATGTATCTAGGCTGGTATTTAGAATAGCTTAGAAACATGAGAAGCTTCGGGAAAAAAGATTGAACAACAGTCAGCCTTAAAAGTACAGTACCTACACGAAGCAAACGGGCGCGACTTACATGTCACCGAATAACCTTTACGGAATCCATTTCTAACTGAATCGGTGGTTGTGTGGGCTGACAGTAAACTTTGAGGAATGAGGGCTCGAAGGGGGAAACTGAGGTCATATGTAGGATTTCGCTCCTCGTTTATTCGTTCATTCTGGGCTCCATACTACCTCGGAGCCAAAAATCACAATGGTGACGACGTCGATTCTGAAGCCATGAACCCACGGATCATAGCATTTCAAGATAGCATGGTGAG